AGGCTTGGGAGGAATATAGGGAGGGATGAGTAGATGAGGCACAGAGGATTTTTAGGGCAGTAAAACTATTCTGTAAGATACTGAAATAGCAAATATATGACATTACACATTTGTAAAAACCACTAGAACAGTACAACACAAAAAGTGATTCCTGATGTAAACTATGGATATTATTTAATAATTATGTATCGATTGATTCACCAATTATTAGAAAGTACCACATTACTGCAAGATGTTAATAATAGGAAAATTGTATACAAGAGAAAAGGAAATATATTGGAACTCTGTACCTTTTGCTCAATTTTGCTGTAAACCTAAAACCATTCTTAAAAAATGAAGTCTGCTAATAAAAGAGAAAAAAAAATCTTCCGAAAAGAAAATCTAAGACACACAGTTTATTGGAGAATTCTTCCAAAAATCTAAGAAATAAATAACACAATCTCATAACACTCTTTCAGCGAACAGAAAATAAAAAAGGAGAGACCATTTCTCTACTCATTTTATCAGGCCAGCATAACCTTGATAATAAAGCTTTTCAAAGATATTATAAGAAATAAAAATTACAGACCAATTTTTCTCATGGACATAGATGCAATCCTTTAGCACTTGTTATTGGAGTTCTACTAATATATAGGATGTAGAAAGCCAGTACAAGAATGTCTCTCCCACCCTAACAATGAGAAGAAAAAAAAAAAAGGTATAATCTACCAAATCTTATTTTGTTCTTGAACCCATCAGAAAACTGAAGTTGTAGACAATCAAGTGAATTAAATTTCAAAAAAATAACAAGGCTCTCCAAGGACAGAAGGGACTCCAAACTATCTCACCTTTGGCAAAGAAGAGGAGGAAAAAAGCAAAAAAGACGAAATCAGTTAAAATTTTAACTGTAGTATGTATGTGGGCTAACATTTCAACTTAAAATAACTAAAAGTTCAAAACACATGGGGGTGGCGGGCATGTTTGGCTCAGGTCATGATCTCAGTGTCCTGGGAAAGATCATGATCTCAGGGTCCTGGGATCGAGCCCCACATCAGGCTCTCTGCTCAGCAGGGAGCCTGCTTCCCTCTCCCCCTCTATCTGCCTCTCTGCCTACTTGTGTGCTCTCTCTCTCTCGTCAAATAAATAAAATAAATCTTAAAAAAAAAAAAACACATGGGGAATTATACTCACATTCATTCTCTTTTCCATGGGTCTCTAGCTGGTGCTCATCCAAAAGAATGGGGGCAAAACCAGGAACTGCAGAGAGCCCTCTTTTGTGGCACAGGTGCACAAGAAGAGATAAACTGCCACTCTAGGACAGGCATAAAACCATGCTACCTTGCCTAACTTTCCACTGATTTAAGGAAAAGGCCTTAAACTTCTGAGAGTGGGCTCAGAAAACTTCCCACTCTGAAGACAACGCAATAATTAATTGCTTCTGGGGGTGAGATGGATTAAAAAATGATCTTCCTCATGGGAATTTAAGAAAAACTTTCCTAGGCCCAGGATCCTACACTGGTAGGATCTACACCAGATCCTACAAAGACAAGGTAAGCCAGCACTAGTGAGGATCAGGAATCTCTCTTTCACCCAACATCAGCAACAAATACAAGGCAGAGTTGGGTGCCAAGGGGAGAAGAGAAAGGAACGCTGAGAAAGACCCACTCCCAAGGCACATGGACTAAGACAGGACCAGTAGAATAGAGAATGCCTGTACCTACCATGAGCTTAGGACCGATAAACAAACAGCATTCTACTGCTGAGGAAAAGATTAAGAGCAGGAAGAAAGACTTCTCTCTGTGGCAGAGGCAAACAGAGGCAGACGAAAGCACAGGATGTAGAAAAAACACTGAGAAAAACCTTCCAGTCTTCCAGGGCCCTTTCTAAGCACAAAGTTACAGCAGCCCACCAACTTTGAAGCCTATGGTACACTGAAGCTAATGACTGTATTAACAAAACTCAAGCCTAGCTTGATCCCCAACTATACTGCCTGAAGCTTCCATACTCAGTCAGCCTCCACACTCAAACAAAATTGCCCCTCTACTTGACTACTTTAACTGACATTTGTAGAATACCAAGAGCGGAATGTTCATTCTTTTCAAATGCACGCAGACCATTCAACAAGATAAACAAACTGAATAGCCCTGCATGTATTTTTTTACTTAAACTTTTTATAAAAAAGTTTACAACCAAGAAAACTCCAGGCCCCAGTGACCTTACTAGGAAGTCTACCAAGTATTTAAGAAGGAAATAATATTAATTCTATACAAATTCTTCCACAAAATAGAAAGGAGGGAACACTTCCCAACTCAACTTATGAGATCAGCATTACCTGATAACAAAATTAGATGAAGTTGTTAAAGCTACAAACTAATATTTTTCATGAAAATATTCACATAAATTTCAATTATGCTAGTATTTTTACTAGCAGATCAAATCAAGAAATATATATATAAAGGATGATGCATCAAAACCAGTGGAATTTATCACAGGAATGCAAAATTGGTTCAACATTCAAAACCAATCAATATTATTTGCCATATCAACATATTAAAAAAGAAAAATCACATGAGCATCTCTACAGATACAAGAAAAGTATCTAACAAAATCCAACATCCATTCATAATAAAACCCTCAAAAAACAAGGAATAAAAGGGAGCTCCTCAACCTTATAGAACACATCCAAACACCACTGCAGTAGAGACACTAGGCAGTGTGACCAGGCAAAGAAAGGAAAAAAGAAAAGAAAGAAAAAAAAAAGAAAAGAAAAAAAAAAAGAAAGGAAGGAAGGAAGGAAGGAGATGAGAGAAAGGGAAAGGAAAGAAAGAAAAGGCATACAGATTGGAAGGAAGAAATAAAACTATCTTTATTCACATATGACATATGTTCTTAGAAAATCCTATGCAATCTACAAAAAGTGGTACTATAACTAATAAGTAAGTTTAGTGAGGCACAGGATACAAGGTAAATATACAAATATCAATCATATTTCTGCATACTAGCAACAAACAATTGGAAAATGAAATGAGAAAAAATCAGCATTTATAATAGCATCAAAAAATATTTAGGGAAAAATCTAAAAATATTTGCAAGATTTGTATGCTGAACTATAAAACACTGACAAGAAAAAAAATAGAAATAAAGAGATAAAATATGTTTATAGGCAGAAAATTCAACACTGTTTGCATGTCAATTTTCCCAAAATTGATCCACATATTCAACATAATCCCAATCTAAATCCCAGCAAACTTTGTGTAGTAATTTACAAGATGACTCTAAACTTTAATATGGAAAAGCAAAGGATGTAGAATAGTCAAAACAATTTTGAAAAAAGGAACAAAGTTGGAAAACTAATTATCTGATTTCAAGACTTTCTATAAAGTTACAAAAGTCAAAACAAATAGATCAGTGGAGCAGAGCAAAGAGCCAGAAATAGGGGTGTGTATGTGTGTGTGTGTTCTAAATCAATTTTCAACAAACGACCAATGAAATTAGTGGAGAAAGGATAGGTGTCTCAACATAGAGGTACTGGAAACAGGTGTGGTACTGCACATCAATCTATCTACATCAAAAAATTAACTCGAAATGGATCACAAACCTAAACGTAAAATCTGAAACTATAAAAATTCTAGAATGAAACATAGGAGAAAGTTTTTGAGACTTTGGGTCAGGCAAAGATTTGTAGGTAGGGCACAAAAAAACACAAATCATAAATGAAGAAACAGATTAAAAAATGGTCATCAAAATAAAAAAAAATTGCTCTTTGAAAGATCTAGTTAAGGAAAGGGAAAGATATGCCATAGATTGGCAGAAAATATCTGCAAGATGCATGTCTGATAAAAGACTTGTGTCATATATAAAGTATCCTTACAATCAAACAATAAGAGAACACCATTTTTTTAATGGGCAAAAGATTTGCACAAACTACTTGACCAAAGAAGATATTAACCTATGGTAAGATGCTCAGTATCATTACTCATACAGGAAATGTAATCAAAGCCACGATGGGATATCATAGTCCTACCAGAGGTATGTAATTAATAAATAAAAACTGATACCAAGCACTAACTAGGATGCAGAGCAACTGAAACTCTCATAATTGCTGGGAGAAAGGCAAAATAATACAGCCACTTTGGAAAAGTTTGGCAGATTCTCATACAATTAAACATACACTTACCATATAACTCAGCAATTCCCACCTAGATATTTATCCAAAAGAAAACAAATATTCAAGCAAAGAACCTGTATCAACATGTATATGTCAGTTTTATTCATAATCTCTGTAACTGGAAACAACCCATAGCTGTAACGGAAAATACCCAGCAACCAATGAATGGATAAACAAATCATAGTACATCCAAACATGAAATATTACGCAGCAGTAAAAAGGAAAAGAACTAGCGAAATACCAACAATACGATTAAATCTCAAAAACATTATGCTAAGTGACAGAAGCCAGACACGAAAATTCACATACGGTACGATCCCGTTGACATGACATTCACACAAAAAGGCAAAGACCAACCTCTGCATCCCAAGAAACCTAGCACCTTGGGAAAATACTCCGTGAACGCTGGATGCGGAGAAAGAGGAAGAAATCACTGCAGGGAGGACAGAGGGCAAGAAGGTGACGGACTAACGGTGAGCAAAAAAAAGCACCTGAGGGCCAAACGCCCTCCAGACGAAAAATGTGCAGGAAGGCGTGGCCCCATCCGTCTCTACTGATTCCAGAAGCTTAAAAAATTAGACCCTGGAAAGGACTATGGTCTCAATGAACAGCCTCAGCATTCTCTGGCCTAAAGAAAGGCGGGGTGCGCCCCACCCTTCTTTAAAAATCGACTACCCCACGCGCGAGGCTGAGCAAGTGCAGCCTGCACCCGCAAGGGAAGCTTTTCCGTGCCCAGGAGCGGAGCCGTGCAGACTAGGAGCCGGCTCCCGCCTAGGTTAGCGGGTTGCAGGCGGAGTGCAGGCATCCCCGCGGCCCCGCCCGTCTCCGTCCCTTCCCGCTCGGCCTCACTCACCCAGGCCTGCCGTTCCAACTGAGCGTATAAATTGGAGCCCTTGAGCTTTTGGACTATCTGGGCAATAATGAGAGACAAATCCGACTCCTCCTGCAACATTTCCGCTGCCCTAGCTCGCCAAGCCGCGGGGACAGCTGGCGCGGGGAGAACGGGCTACGGGGTCTCACTCGGGGCCAGTGACACTTCTCCGGGACCTTCTTACGCTGGGACTCCTCCAGCGGGCGTTACCAGGCAACTGCCTGGCGGTGAGTCCGTTCCTCTCTGGTCCCCCCGGCGGCTGAAGGTCCCAGCGCCTGAGTTCCGCTGGCGGAAAAAAAGACCTCGTTGGGAGTAGCTTTTCATTCCATTGTTCCTGCTTGGTTTACATCGAAAATGCACAAGAAGAGCTCTTTTCTCCAGAACTGCAGTGCGTCTAATGGGGAAGGCGAAGTCAGAGTCGCGTATTTTTGTGTTTTATCATAATGGAGCATGCCTTCCCCACCTTGGAATCTCTGCAGAAACAGGACTGTGCGCACAGTTACACGGGAAATTATTGCCAAGAATTATCCGGCTCTGACACTAGCTGTGTATACATGGGTGGGGTGCTTACATCTCAGAACTCAGTTTCTATCTCTGTAAAATAACACCAGTTCACAATGTTGTGATGATTAGCTGAGGTAACAATTGTGAAGGTGGCTAACTCTGTATGTAACCATTCATTTTTTTATTTCCACGTCTCCTGTTTCTATTCTCTGGGGTCTTATGCCAGGAATAAATAGACATCTTCTCCTCAAACAGCTACAACTTAACCAATAGGGATTTCTTTATTAATAGGCTTTCTGTGAGCCTTGGCAATTCAAGGATGACTAAGACACTGTCCCAGTCCAAAGGATGTACCATCTAGATGCCTCTTCTATGTATTTATCCATTCAATCATTATTCAAAATTCATTCAGCTTTCAAAAAGAAAAGTCATTCAGCTTTCAACTTACTGAGCATTTACATACAAGAAACTGTGTGGGAACAAAGGTAAATAAAACATGGTTCTTGCCTTCAAATAAACATATCAAAGGTTTTTAATAGAACTAGAAGAAACAGATTTAGCTAATTGAATGGCATTCCCAAAGGCAACTAGAAAAATCACTGTGGAATAATATAAACATTAGAATAATTTCACCAATATAATCAAGAATTAATTTCAAGTGTGAGTATGCATATATTTTAAGCAAAGCAAAGGTAAAATTCCAAGAAAACAAACCAAGATTACTGCAAAAATTACTCTAGCTTAACTACATTAAACTTTAATTTAATATTGAACCAGATCCTCTGACTCAATAGGCTTGTTGTAAGACCTGTTAATCTGTTTTCTGGCAAGTTCCAAGGAGATTGTGATGCTGGCAGTTCAGGAACTACACTCTGAACACCAAAGGAATAAAGCTGATACATGATAGAAATTCTAAAGAACTGGACCTTTGGCACCCATGCACAACACCTTGGCACTCAAACACCACTGTTCAGAATAGTTCAATGGTAAATACAGATTCCAAATAACCTATCTGGTCATGTTTGTTTATTAGAAACAAATTTGGAAAAAGGCAGGCAGGGAGAAAATAGTACTTAAAGTCAATTAATCATAGACTTCACAAAACAGGTAGTTTCTCTACAAAACATTCCCCCCACAATTCAGAATTTCTGCAAGTTGTAGATAAGTAAATCTCCTCAACCCTTTACAGCCTCTCCATCCCCGACACCCCCACCCATGAATGTCCAGCACAAATCTCACTTAGAAAAAAAAAAGGAAACTATGGAGAGAGTTCTTTTTGAGATTGGAAAGAGGAAAGTGATTAATAACTAAAGAGATAAGAATGCTTAGGTTGAAGAGGGTCATAAAGCCTAGGGAGAAAAGAAGATGAAACTGGGGAGTGGAAGGAAGCCATGGTACCTGGAGTCAGAAAACAACCTCACTTCTTCTCTGCTATGTACCCTTGGGTCTCTTCCCTTCTCAGAGTTTCAGCTTTTTTGTCTGTAAACAAGAGGATAAAATAATGACCTGAGGGGCACTCTGGGGAAGGATGTAGTTAGTGTTAAAATATTTTTTAAAGTATCAATAAATGAATTATTAAAAATTGTAGCAACATGTGTGAAAATGCCCAGCACAATTTTTTGTACAGACAGAAGCTTTAAGAAGTTTTTTTTTTTCCCTGAGGAGAAAACAATTTGCAGTCTTACAGAAACAATTGAGAAGTTTGGATTTGATTCTGAAGATATGCCCAAGCAAAAAAAAAAAAAAAAATCTTAATCCTAATAGTAAAGATTTGTTTCCTACACTCATAGAAGGGGATGTGTTAGGTTATAATTCAATTCTAGAATTCCCTCTGTTCTCTTTTTCCAATACAATTTAGCAAAACTTTTCAGAACACCTGCTCTGTGCTAAGAAAGGCAAGGAATACAAAGATGAGTAAGAAAGGGTCCTTTCTTCTAAGACATTCTCAATCTCAAAGGGATGGTGAGATCAGTCCACAAAGAGCTGAAATGTTAGACAGGCCACTTTAGACTCCCACATGTGTATCTGGAAATTTTATTACTCTAAAGTCATTGCCCAGTAAGAAGCAAAAGATGCAGATTTCCATCTCCATCTCACCAGCACAACTTTGCTTTGGAAATCCTTATTCTACTCAGAGTCGGGGGGGATTGGGAAAACACTCTATTTCTGACATTTTAGAGTGAACCATGACCCAACCTAAGAGATGAATAGCAAAAGGAATCCAGTGTCATCTGAGTAGCTAAAATCTTATGAACAGAAACAAAAGTAAAATAAATACAGAGAGAATTTTCCTCAAAATCCCCTCAAATTCAAAGCAAACTCACTTTTGGGCCAACAGGTGTAAGGTTCTGGGCTCAATCCTGCCCTTTTTCAGATCTGCTCTGCTTTGATCTATTTTATATATAATATTGTGTCAGACTTCACTGTGGTGAGGAGAAGAAAGGAAACCACTAACCAGTGGCCTCACACGAGCAAAGATGAGGAGCACATCCGAAACACCTTGTGAGCTCAACACAAAACTGAGGCTTGCATAAACTCCACAATCTACAATGAAGTATGTTCAGCTGTTGTTTTAGGAGACATTGCTATTAGCATGCTGTATCTGCAGAATAGATTGAATTGTGTGTTGTCAGGAATTCACTTAAATAAATAGAAAAGTATTTTCGTGTGTGTTCTATGTACCACAAATGTCACAGGCCTCCTTGTCTTTGGGAACAAATGAGCTCATTGTGGTACCAGTTACCTGTCACTGGATTGTTAGCGACCATATGCTAGCACAGGATCTCAGGCTCCTCTTCCAAGCCTCTTCCTGTTACTTCTGGGAGTCCTCAGAAAGTGGTACGTGTGTACTGAGGAGCAAATCTGGCTGTGATCTGCTCTGCCTGCTTTGGTGGTATCTGAGGTCTCAAAGCTACTGTCCAAGGTGCTGCTTTTCGGTGCTCCCAAACCTGCAAAACCCCAGAGATGCTTAAATCCCAAGTCTCACAAAACCCCTCAAAAACAAAGCCCCTTACAGTTCTGCTTGCCACCTCTCATTGCAAGGTGGTCAGATCTCCTTTCTGAACCCACGCTGAATATCAGACCATGCTACTGGATGAGAGCAGATTTTGCTACCCCAAAATATGTCTCTTTGGCATAAAGATTACTTTGAGCTAAGGCCATTTACAACCCAGGAGATTCACAAAAAGTTCTTTATTCAACTGCTTAGATTGATATAGGAAAGGGGACCTGTACCAGGAAGAAAGCTAGTACTAGAGACATCGTTTTCACTAAGAAATTTATCTGCGTAAGAAGTTGTCTGCAAAAGTTGTCACCTTTGTTTCCCAGGCATCTTCTTTGCCTTCCTGTGAATAACATTCTCCCCTTTGTATACCAAAACCTCTACCCTTTTCCTTAGCTCAGGATGTTATATTTTTAAAAAACTGTCTTTTGAGTCTTCATATCTCTCCCCTATCCATTAAATTTTGTTTGTTTTCCTCCTGTTAATCTTACTTATATCAATTTAATCATTAGACAAGCCAAAGAGTCTAGAATGAAAAAGGGAAAATTTTTCTGCCCTACACTATACTCCATTTCTCCATCTTTCCTGCTTCTGGCCCCAGGCACTTATGTGTAAATGGGGAGGATTGGGCTATTGGTTCCATAACACTCTCAGGGACTGTGTTGGTTTCATGCTAAATATAAAACTCATGAGAAAAATCCAAATAACAGTGGTTTAAATCATAGGATATTTATTACTACCAACAAGTCTAAAGGAATGTACAAAGGCTGTCCACAACATCATCACAAATCTAAGCTCTTTCCATTCTGCCCTCCTTAGCATGTTGGCCTTCACTATTCAGCTTACCGTCTTAAGTTCGAAATATGACATTCTTCCACCACTGCCTGCAAAGGGAGGCAAGAAGAAGACAAAATAAAGGAGTTCTCAATGACTTTGTATGTCTCTTCTTCTCCTGAGGAAAGATTATTTTTCCAAGAAGCCCCCCAAAAGACTTTCCCATGCATCTTATTGCCCAAAGCTGAGTCACCTGACCACCTGTAACCACAAGAGAGTGGCAAGAAATGATCTGGTATTTTATCCTCAATCCTGGGAGAAAGATGTAGGAGAGGAGTGGGTTGTTGATTCTACCATATTGTCCAAAACAACTTCAGGTCTCAGACTGGCATTGTGATATGAACGCTTGTAGCCGAGCATTCCTGACTGACATTCAGGCCAATTGGACCACAAATAAAGTAGAGCTGAGCAACAGCCAGATCATTTATTATCCACAAAACTGTTTGTATGAAGTTCAGAGTCTGGAATCTAAATTATAGTACTTATTGATGTGACATTTTCTCCATATTATGGTGACATTCTAAAAGCTAAAAATAAATAAGGTTGACCCATTTGCAAAATAAGATGTATAAGTAAAAGATGGTGTGACAAGAACAGAATATTTGCAAGTGTTATTACCTTTTAAAAAGACAAAATTGATGACCTGTGAAGAAAACAGCTTTTTCATAAATAACTTTCGTGAAGTCCTCCCTACCTCTAGAATTCACTCTAATGGAGTTCTAGGTTATTCTCTCTGGTTGTACAAGCAGAAGTGAGCACTGGAAATAACCTATTCTCTAATACAACCTGTACTTCTTGGAGCAAAAGAGGCTTACTATTGCAAAGTGAAGGATGGCCTAGTTTCTCCAGATACTTCCT